TTATCTTTATATTTGCATGGGCGAGAGTGGTCCGAATTTACCGACTCAATAAGCCTCCCATTTCAAGGGTAAGACTGGGTGAATAGCTGGGGACATAGGGTGAAAGATAGAATTCACTCCTACCCGCTTTTAGGGATAGTAGAGAAGTTGTTCCCTTAAGTACTGACTCCAGGTCTTGAACAAGGGGCACCACCCTCTCATTGACCCGAGAGGGAATCGGTTTGGTGGTTGGACTACAAACCAATTGTTCATTAGAGGATCAGTGGGACATAAGGAACAAGAAGTAACTTTAGGGGTAAAAACGGTAAATTGACCCATCTCTAGTTACGAACAACCTGTGAAGGATCGACTTACTAATCATGGTTATATCAAATGGACAGAAATATATCTATAGTGAGGGAAGTGCAACTACTAGGCTATAGCTAGTTAATCTCGGATCGTTGGAGCCCATGATCTGTAGGTCCATTAGGTTACTTTGCTAGCTCATATCGGACTAAACCTTAGAACAATGTGATGAGTGAGTTTGAAGTGTTCAAACTCAAATTAGGGAATATGCGTTAAATATATACAATATGTTTAACCGCATTTTGATTTAACTACGAATTAAACAAAATGGGAGAATTGGAGATATTTAAATAAGATTTAAATATTTTAATTATGAATAAGGATTTATGTGTCGTAATTGATTGGGATTGACATTTGATTTAATGTTAAATATTAATTAAATTGTTTAATTAATCATTTAATATTATTTTGGTTTTAAATTAATTATTCAAATTAATGGTTGAATTAAAATAGAGAAAGTAAAAAGGTTGACTTCACTTAAGGTAAAAATTCATGTTTGAATTAGTGGAATATTGAGTGTCAAATATATGGTTTAACAAACTTGCATAGCCAATAATCCCACAAATTTGAGTGGAATTTTGAGTGGCAAAATTTGATTAATTCAAACTTGCATGCTTGCCACATAATCCCATAAATTTGAGTGGAATTTTGAGTGTCAAAATTTGGTAATTTCAAATTTGCATGAACATGCAAATATCACTCTATAAATAGAGTGGTCAACGTACATGGAAATTCTTGTCGAAAAACTTTGAGAAATTCTCTCAAAACTCTCTCTTTACATATACTAAATTCTTTTCAAATTCAGTCACTCATTGGATTCCACAATCCCATTCTGAGAATAGTAGAGAAGACATTAGTGGTGGTTCGAAACCGGTTCGTTAGAAAAAAGAAATTTAAACTACAAAAGGTTAGCATTCAAACTCATTGAGTTTTAATGCTTTTGAACATGCTAGCTAATTTATTATAATTGATGTACTTAGAGTGCCTAAGATCCAAATTGCTTCCGCATGTGTTATATTAACACATCACTTATATGAAAAGCAGTGAATTCCATCTCATGATATTATGTTCCCAACTCCAGTCAAGCCCCATAAATAGTAGACATATTGAATCAACTAAAAGAGTCATTCTCACCCATGTAAATTAAAGGACAAGCCCTCACAGGCAGAAGTTCATAACTCACTCAGGATTAAGATCGAGTCGCATATGATCATCATGTGAAATGTTAATCTTCTCAATTAACGGATTTATAAAGAGGGATTAAATATTTTTTGGTTCAGTCTTATACAAACTCATTGTATAGGATACTCCCACTTATATGTCTACACATGAATGATTTGAATCAAATCATTTGTAACGATTACAAAGTGGGCCGTATCAATAGTGTTACCATGATAAGACACCCAACCTTATCCATATACTATAGACTCTTTAGGTTATTACTTGAACATGATCCTTTTATATGTCATCCACATACTATTCAAGATTACATTAATAACTTTGGATTTTCAATTAGGATGTCAAGCACCGGTTTATGCTTAAAGGCTAGTGGAGAAGGCCTTGAGCCATCTCTCAATTTACTTCTTAGGCCAATAGAGTTCTTGGACACCCATTTCTAACTCTAAACTTCATTTATGTTTCGACAAATTTCGGCACAAATGTCAAGACGAATTCTGGAAAGGATGAACTTCCGATTTCAAACCCTCTGAAGACTTACTGGGTCGAAGTTTTGGCAAACTCTAAAGGCAGCAAACTTGAGTTCTCTAGCCATCCAAAGTTTTAATGTGTCCATGTTTGGACGAACATTGGCATGAATTCTTAGATGAACTCTTGGAAGGAGGAACTTTGGGTTTGTGGCCTCCAAATCTCTAATAAGTCAAAGTTTAGCCCAATTGCTAAGACGAACTCTAGAAAGGACGAAGTTTGGGTTTCTAACTCTCCAAAGCTCGAAAAAGGTCTCAGAACAGTTTGGGCGAACTTTTGTCTGAACTCTGGAAACGACAAACTTGTATGAACACAATCGTCGAGACAAGCTTTGGAAAGAATGAACTGTGGGTTTCTAACTCTCCAAAGCTCTAACAGGTCAAAGTCAAGACGAACTAAGCTCTTCAAACCATGAAATTGAGGTTTATAAGCCTCGATAGCATAACGGATTGAATTTTGGATGATCTTTTGACCAAAGGTCAAGACAATGTGAGGTATGGAACTTTGGGTTTCCATCTCTCTAAAGATCTAGTTGGTAGTAAAAGTTTGGAAGAACTTTGGTCCAAATATTAAGACCCGCTTCGAAAAAAAATGAAATTTTGGCTCCCAGCACATTGGAGCTCTAAAGGCAGCGAACTGCTGGTCTGGACGAACTTTGGGTTTGCGGCCCTTCAATCATCTAATGGGTCAAAGTTTGGTCCAAGCGCTGAGATAGACTCCAAAAAGGATGAACTTTGGGTTTTTGACTCTCTAAAGCTTGAAAAGGATCTCTGAGAAGTTTGGACAAACTATTTTCTAAACTCTAGAAAGCACGAATTTGTACATACACAAGCTTTGAGACAAGTTCTAGAAAGAACAAACTTTGGTTCCTAACTCTCCAAAGCTCTAACATGCCAAAGTCTAAACGAAATGGGCTCTTCAAACCATGAAGTTTAGGTTTCTAAGCCTCGACAGCCTAACAGATCAAAGTTTAGAAGAACTTATAACCAAACGTTGAGACAGTGTGATGGATGGTCGAACTTTGGATTTCAAGCTCTTTGAAGCTCTACTAGGTGCTAAAATTTCGGAAGAACTCTGGTCTAAACATCAAGACAGGCTCCAAAAAAAACGTTTTTATGGATCCCACCACGATGGAGCTCTGACATGTCCATGTTTCGATGAACTTCGACACAAATATCGAGACAAACTATAGTAAGTACGAACTTCTAGTTTCAGAACCTCCGAAGACATTGGGTCGAGGTTTTGGCAACCTCTGAGAGCAGCAAACTTCAGGTCTCTAGCCCAACAAATCTCCAACGGGTCCATGTTTGGACGAGCTTCAAACTCTCCAAAGCTCGAAAGGGTCTTAGAGGAGTTTGGGCAAACTTTTGTTCGAACACTGGAAAGGACAAACTTATACGTATACAAGCATGAGAAAAGCTCTAGAAATGACAAATTTTGGGTTCTTAACTCTTCAAATCTCTAACAAGTCTAAGTCTAGATGAAATGAGCTCTTTAAACCACAAAGTTTAGGTTTCTAAGCCTCGATAGCCAAATGGATCCATGTTTGTATGAACTTTGGACCAAAAATCGAGACATTGTGAGGGATGGATGAACTTTTGGTTTCTAGCTCTTTGAAGCTCTAGTTGGTAAAAGTTTGGAAGAACTTTGGTCCAAACATACAAATACAACATACATGACTTTATATAGCCTCAAAATGAAACTCTGGACCTTATATGAGATATTTCAAGAGCTTGTAACATTCATACTTCATCACCATAATTAGACACTTTCTATACTTTATTACTATAATTAACCACGATGTATTATGACTATAATTAGCCTAAATGTAACCTTAAATTAAATAAAAATTCTTAAAATATATTAATGAAATACAATAACTCTAAATTACTCTCAATTGCAATCCACCCAGAATTTAGAACAATGAAGCTTCACTCTCAATTGCAATCCACCCAGAATTTAGAACAATGAAGCTTCATTCTTCTTCAATGTGGCATGAATTGAAATATCTTTTGATAATTTCAATAGTATTTTCTTCACACCTTCATTGAAGAATATTGTATGATTGATGTCTCTTGGTTCATATCATTCTCCACTACTTCAAGAGGATTCGTCCTCAAATCTATTTGTGAAACTTTGCTGCAAAAATAAGTTATGGAAATACAAAGGACCTCACAACACTCGCAATGTGTTCTCATGGGACGATGCTTGTGAGTAGAGTTTCAAGGAACCCAAGCACTAACTAGGAACAACATAGGTACTTTTTGTGCCCGATGGTTCAGGAAACTTAGTGGTATATAGTGATGCATCAAATATGGGGTTTGGTTGTGTGTTGATGCAAAATGCCATAGTTATAACCTATGCCTTAAGAAAATTGAAAGAAATCGGAGTTAATACATCCTAGATTAAGTTGCCTAAAGAAACTAACCTCTGCATTTTTTTAGGTAAGTTGCAGATCGATGATCAAATTCGAAAATTAAGACCATAAGCTTAAAAACATTATTCCAAAAACAAATCCTTTAGCTAAAGTGAAGTATAAGGAAGAACTTTCATGAGTCTCTCGGTTTGAGTGTTGGCATGGATAAATTTTCCAGCGTACTTTGGAGACGTATAACTCAGGCTACAATCCATGAGAAGGTATGAAATCAATCCATGTCTCTTCCCTATAACACCACCTTTAAGTTTCAAGAGGAAAACAAGGGGAGAAATGCTCAAAACAGAGCGGGGAGGCACACTTTTATGTGGTGATGCAATGGCCCGCACGCGTCTTCTTCCTTCGAGAGGAAGAAGATGATGACGTGGGTGGTTCAACTAAACCAGTCCTACCAACAAAAAAATATGACCCTCCCTTGTCTTTTCAAAATTTTAACCACCTCCCTATCACTACCCGAAATACATAACTTCAAGTCGTGACTAACATGAATTATGACAAGTAATGTATAAACGAGAAATTCAAGGAAAAACATTTATTTCAAAAGAAAAACGTTTCTTTACTAAAAGGACATATGTGCCTAGGTAAAGATAAGAAAAGAAACATGAAAGACAAAGTGTACTATTCAGTAAACTAGACTGACGCCCCGGGACACGCTTCCTCTATGACAACCCACATCGATCAACACGCCCTCTCTTGACTCGACGCCTCACGTACCTGAAAAAAGAAAGGTATAACAAGAATGAGTATAAAAATTATACTCAGTAAGCCACCTACTTGTAGGCTCTTATCGCATTCCAATTACGACAAACTCCCACGGTCTCATTCTTTGGCTTTAGTACATCTAGATCAGGTCTTAACTCCTTCGGGTTTCTTTGGCGCTTCGACCTATCATTTATACCCTAAGAGTTCCCTTATGTCATCCTGTGCTTGATTGGTACTCTGCAAGTAGCTACCTCGGCATGGCTATGAGACTACCTAGTGTCATATCTAGGAAGTGAATTGCAACCCCCTAGTCCACGATAATCCCCCTTTTTCGAGGAGGGCTACCTCCCCCATTCCCATCCAGCTAAATGGTCCGTTCCAACGTGGGTCTCCCGTTTTTCATGCTAAAACGGCTTTAGAGCATATGAGTCCAGATCAGGAACCCCCTAGTCTCCCACGAAGCATTATCACCAATCGCACACAGTTAACCTAAGGGTTCCCTAGTGGCAGTTCGTTTACCGTGGTAGTTTCTTATGTTTCTAGGCGAGGGGTCAGGTCTATACTTAGTATCATGTTACTCAAACCATAAATCCCTAGAATTATTCATAAAAGTGGGCATTGAAAATTAACTGGGTAAGTACATAATTATCATCCAACATCATCATATAATTTTCATTCAAGGTATACATACAAGCTCAACGGGGCAATAACGTCCATCAACTTCCGGAGTGCATATTCTACAAATTTTCATCCTCCATTCAGCATAGAATATCCATATACATAGCAAGCGAAAACTTAAAGCATAACAACACTCAGGTAATCCTCGTAGTAATTCACACAATACATCCTACTTTTAATAATCGATTACCTATAAACAATCACGGGAAGCTACGACCTAAGATAATTAAACTTGCATGCATGCATTCCAAGCGACTCCTACAAGTATTACTTCCTAGAATTCCGTGTAGTGACTTACCTAGATGATGTGTGCCCTTGCTCAGCATTTCCACACACTTGGCATATCGAAAGGTGGTGATTTTTCCTCAATTAGGACTTATTTCATATAAATGGGTTTAGGATTGGAATTAGGAGGAAAATAGGGAAAACAGAAATCAAACAGGTCAAAAATAAGCTTACACGCACCAGCCACGCGCCGGGGTGCAACCACTCGCAGGTTCCACGCGCGAGTGTCACGCGCCTAGAGTTTTTTGCAGTCGCAGGTCGCGGGTTTGGTCGGAAGCAGTGGTTCGGGTGGACCGCGGGTCGGGTTGCAATGCTGGGGACGCGTGTCGTAGGAAGGCTGGAGCCGCATTTTCCTAGACGGCGTCTGACGCGTGTCCGAAGGTGATTGGCGCACGCGGTCCTCTAGCCGGTTGACAAGTGGCACGCCGGCGACTTCTCCTCCTAGCAGAAAATCAAGGTTTTCGATTAGTTTTCCGGGGTTCTTTCCATTTTCATATCTCTAGATTCTTCTTAATCCAAACAGTAACGCTTCAACCTACGTGACAATATTTTTTTCTTGATTTTTACTTAGTCATACGATGAGTTGTGAGTGTCAGAAAGAGGTCCGGTAACATTCTTACCGTTCTTTGAAAGATTCTCAGATTTCGACGTTTCGTCCGATTTCCTCACCAAAATCAGTGGCGGATCTTACCTGGATGAAGTGGTAAACTTAAACACTCTACTCCCAAACAAAGATCTCGAATCTGAAAAGTATAGTTCGAAATCTTACCTTGTGGGTTTTCTTTCAGATCTTGAAGAAAGAAGAGGAAATCTCAACACGAGTTCTTACTTCACTCCAAGAAGGACTCCAGAGTGTAGGTCTTAGTAGGGAATAGATTCCGTCGGTGACTCTCCGATGAAAACTCCGGCTATTCAGTTTTCTCTCCCAAACTTCCTCTCAATCCTTCTCTCTCACTCTTCTCTCTTTTGCAGGAATTCTGTGGAGAACCCTCAAGACCCCTATAATGGGCTGAGGGGTAAAATGTCCATTTTGCCTATTGGGCTTGGACCGCCTTTTTTATTTTTTATTTTTTTTTTAGTATTACACTCCCATACTAGTTCTCATGAAAATAAAAAATTATGATTTCAAAATCTAGACACTCTAAGGAGTCTGTCAAAGAAAATTTTGAGTAATTCGAATATTGGAAGCTCAAGAACAGAGGTCTTGAACGTCGATGAGGTAAGTAGTCATCTTAGATTTTTCTTAAGAAATACTTGTAGGAAGCATTTTGATTTTAGTATGAACCTTAAGATGAGTATGAATTAAGGGAATATGAATGAAAAACACTATGAATCGTGAGTTAAGGCCCTCGACCAAGAAATTTGCTCGAAATTCCAACAATGTTAAAATAACAAATTAAATGAACTCCCCTTCTCATGAAATTTTATATTTGAGCATAATGTGACATGTTAGGGGAATATATGAAATTTATGTTGGGATTTATGCTCTAAAAACTGGTAATTAATTATTTAAATTTGATAATAATTTTATTATTTTATATACAATTTAATATTATCCATGAACATCCAAGGTAATTAGTGTAATCTTGAACCGAATGTGGTTGACATACAAGAGGATCATGTTCAAGTAATCACCTAAGGTGTCCATAGTAAATGAATAAGGTTGGGTGTCTTATTCTAATAACCCTATTAATGCAACTCACTTTGTAATTTTTACAAATGATTTGATCCAAATCGTTCATATGCAGACATGTGAGTGGGGGCATCCTATATAATGAGTTTGCATAAGACTGAACTAAGAAATATTTAATCTCTCTTTATCAATCTGTTAATTGAGAAGATTAATATTTCACATTATGATCCAAATCGTTCATATGCAGATATGTAACTCGATCTTATCATAAGTGAGTTATGAATTCGTGCCTGTGAGGGCTTGTTCTTTGATTTACATGAGCGAGAATGACACTTGTAGTCGATTCAATATGCTTGTTATTTTGGGGACTTGACCAAATAGGGAGCTAGAAACATAATTGTTGGAATACAACAAGGAGTTTTGCAAGCTGCGGTTTCTACAAAGATTGAGTTCTTACTCATAAAATTAAAACGGTTCTCAATGCTCCTGCTAGGTGGATGAAGAGTTCATTCCCTTCAATCTAGTGTTCATTTGATAAGGATAAGTAGCTAAATCAACAAATGATGCAAAATAACCAAAATTCCCCTATGACGGCAATAACCAAAATTCTCCTATGACGGCTACCTTCATTCGAGATTTGAATGACTTCCAACTACCTTGAAACTTTATAATAGGCTTTATTTCATGATAATTGATGACTTTGTAAAGTTTTAAGGTCATTGGAAAACATAAACCAAGAATTGGTGTAAAATGACCAAAATATCCCTAGGACTCCAAGATATTTCAAGGTCTAAACATCATCCAAATGACTTGCAACTTTTGGTATAGCCTAATTCTAAGGATAAAATGATATATTCAAGATTTCAAGTTATTCCTAACAAATTTGGAACCTAAACTAAGTTAGGACATAAGTAAAGCTCAAAGGAAATACTTCAAATGACCTTTACCCAAGATCCAAGACTCTTCAAGAATTTTCTAAAGAACACATTATGACTTCATGTTATTTGAATGACTTATGTATGTTACCGTAATAGGTTCATAATGTATGAGATTTAAGTAGGGCTTAAGAAGGTATGTTATGACTTATGCCTTAAGAATCTAAGAAGCCAAGAAATTTATAAAATGGTTTAAGATCAAGAACCCAAGGAAATACCAACACAAGTCTTACATCTACTAAGATAAGCAGAATGTTAGGTATACTCAAGGATAATGAACCAATGTCCTCATACTCAAAAACTCAAGAAACTTCTATACCTCCTACGGTAGAATATGCTCATGACTCAGACTACATCGCTTGGAACGTAAGAATCCTTGGATGTAGGTTTTTCGACTACGCTGCTAGGAACATAAGAAGCCTTGAGCTTACGTATTTAGACTATACTAATTGAAACACAGATTGTCAGATTCATGGCTTGTACCATAAATTCTAGGGTGAGTGTCTTAGTGAACAAAACGATAACAAAATAAGAACATAGAAAATAACAAAGAACAAGACAACGGTCAAGAACAGGAATAAGAACTAGAACATGAATCCAGATCCAAGTTCTGAAGACAAGAACTCAGAACCTTAGAACTAAGGTCCCTAGATCAAAACCAAAGAGCAAGGTCCTTGGCTAGATCATGACAAGAAATCATAACTCATGAACAACATCTAAAGGCATAAGTAATTGCGACAAGAACTAGAACAAGTTAAAGAAAAATTGTGGTACTCTAGCATAGCAATGACACGATTAAGAGCCTACAAGTTGACTACTTACTAAATTTTGGTACTCACTCAATATTTTCATGTTTTTCAAGTAAATAAGGAGATGGTCGAGGCTGGGAGTGGACTCTGGAGGTGTCATAGACAAGCCTCACTCGTCTATCTTCAGCTCTTTTTTATTGTTAAATATTTTGTGTTTTAACTACTTATGTATGAACTCTATTTTGAAATAATGTAAATATATTGTGTATCATGTTTTAAATTCTCTTTGTTTTATTCTGCGAAAAAATTTCCATTTTTTTATACCATCTGAGTCAACCTTATGTTGCGACTCCTGAAAAATTAAGTTGTGACATTAGGTCACAACAAGTTCTATATTTCATCCCACTTGGGTGGTTCAAAGCCAATTAGAAAGTACATTTCTGACAGCTCAAACTCACCTCTCAATTGATCTAGCTTGGGTCTTATATGTTCAGACTATTTCCTACCATTTTTGACTCGTCGAGAGGTATTTTTGACACTTTAAAAAGCGTTTAAGGTTAGTATGGATACTTTCTAATTTAAATTATTTGGAGTTAAGTTTAAATTATTTTATGTAATTAGATGAGCCACATAGTAGAATTCTAAATTATGATTGTGGAACTCTTTACGTAGAAATAGATTTCAAGGAGCAACTTTAAACTAGCATCACTGGAGTGTAGTGACTTCATTTTAGGCTAACCAAGTGGCTTTACTCTTGGCTTGGTTGGATGACTTGTTTGTTGTATAAAAGATGTGACTTATGACCCATGCATATGTCGTATTTGATGATTGTATGACTGTGTAGTATGTTATGGATATGTTATGATATATGTTATTTTATGTACAAGTTATGCTAGGTTTAATTTTAGGAATGTTATGTAAAAAAAAAAAAAAATGGAGGTAAGACTAGCGTCATGAATACATGTCATGTTTTAATGTTATGGGACCTCATACATTTTATATAACACGTGCATCGAGATACTTGCCTGTTATGTTTAGTACAAACATGTACCTTATGATATCTATATTTGCCATGAAATTATGTAGGTTATTTCACTATGTGGCGTCCGGTAGTATGAGAGTGTTAGCTCGACGAGCTAGGCTTAGGGGCACGTATAGAAGCCTGCCTAGGGGGTTCATGTGCGTATGTGTGGCCGGTGCATAGAGAAGTACTACACATCCAACCCAACCTAGACCGGAAAATAAAGCTCAAAGTCATGCCCCAATATTCTTATTAAAAGATAGGTCCCACCATGATTGTTTGTGTTTGCATTTTTTTTTGCACCAACAACGAGGCTACTTACTAAGTACTTTCAAATATTAAATTCACGTGCTACTTTTTCAATTAAAGGTAAGGTACCTTGTACCAATGATAATGTTGCCATGAAGGCCATGAAACTAAAGCTAGGGTAGTTACATTTATGTATAAATTGTAGTCCATAGGTTAGATCAGGACATTGCATTATTTTATTTTAATTCATATTATCAGTTTTTCCGCTCCGTTGTCGATAACAATATTGTTCTAAATGAATTCATTATAAATGTTTAAGTCAATGACATCGTTTTGGAAATGGTCTTACAGACTCGGCACATAATAGGTATGTTATGCATGTAGTGGTCTCTATTATATTACGAAAAATAGGATCGTTACAAATACGGTAGACACAAAGGGGATGACATTCATCATCGTCAACTTCTGCCCAGCGCTGACAATCTGGATGGGGAACAAGCAAGTGCCAACGGAGGCATTTTTGGTGACAATCTCAGCAGATCCACCAAAATCACAAGCTTCAACGCTCTGGTCTTGCATCTGGAAATACATGTTGTAAGCAAAAGAAAAGTTGCCTCTAGCGTTCAAGTCGTTGCATGAAGATCCAAACGCCAAGGTTGTGCAGTCCGACAAGGAGCAGGCATAGTCGATCTGACTTACTTCTGATGTTAAGTCCTCGATGCTGTTCTTAATCACACACCATTTTTTTTCCAAGTATTGAACTCCCTTTGCTGCAACTGGCATCTTGTCATTCCCATTGCCTGCCAAGTCCATCGGGAACTTTGGTTTCCCATCATACCTGTTAAATATGTCAAAGAATACGTAAAAAAAAAGCATTTCAATTATATCTATATCCTTTAAACTTTGATTCTACTAACATGGTATTAGAGCCATGCCCTTAATCATGCTAATAGAATTCTTAAATGTCCAACAAAGAAGTTGTGAGACTCGAAGGTGTAGTCAAAAGTGACTTAAGTGTCGAACAAACGGTGTATTTTGTTCGAGGACTCTAGAGAAAGAGTCGAGCCTCGATTAAAGGGAGACTGTTCGAGGTCTCTATAGCCCTCAGGGGAGGCTCTATAGTGTACTTTGTTCGAGGGGAGAATTGTCGAGGATTGTTGGGAGGGAGTCCCACATTAGCTAATTTAGCGAATGATCATGGGCTTATAAGGAATACACTTCATTGGAATGAGGCATTTTGGGGAAACTCAAAACAAAGCCATGAGAGATGATGCTCAAAGTGGACAATATCATACTATTAAAGAGATTCGTGATTCCTAACATGGTATCAGAGTCATACCCTTAACTTAGCCATTTCAATAGAATTCTCAAATGTCGAACAAAGAAGTTGTGAGCTTCGAAGGTGTAGTCAAAAGTGACTCAAGTGTCGAACAAATGGTGTACTTTGTTCAAGAACTT